AAGATTTTATTTATTTGTCAGAGAGAGAGAGTACACACAAGCAGGCAGAGAGGCAGGCAGAGAGAGAGGAGGAAGCAGGCTCCCTGCGGAGCAAGGAGCCTGATGCGGGACTCGATCCCAGAACCCCAGGATCATGACCTGAGCCGAAGGCAGCGGCTTAGCCAACTGAGCCACCCAGGCGTCCCTCGAAGATACATTTTGAGATGAAAGTGCTTTTTTTTTTCTTGACTTTCTACAGTATCATTACATAGATGTAAATTTTAGAAAAACATAAAAAGATTTTAAAATTTGCTGGCTTAAAAATGTCAGTAGGATAACATAATTATATATACAGATATATAACATTTGGTTATGAACACTTCTGTTGAGATGAATTAATGAGAGTAGGAACACTTTTCACATCATATTTCTAAGTACACCACTTTGTGCTCTACTAATTTTAATAAGGTAAATGAAAAAGGAACTAAATCATACCACGGCTGCCTTTTGGAGACAGTCTACAAGGATGCAGTCGGATGTAAAAAGCACTGTGATACAATTACAGAATAATGAAAACATAGGATATCCCTGAAAAAGTCAGATATTTCTTGGAAATTACTTCTCAGGATATTTTGTGGGAGAGAAAGACTGTTAAGTCTATCAAATTTGTGATGAGTAGATTACAAAATAGAAAGTAAGATGACAAGAGGTGTCAGCTGCTGAGAAAGAAGCTCATAAAAACTTAACATGCTGGGAATTAGATTACGCTGGTCAGTGGTCTACCCTCAAGGTAACTTAGAATTTTTAGTAGAGGAAGAGCTTACTAACGAGATATCAAGAAGTACTCAACCAAAAAAGCAATCAAAAGAATATATATATATATATATATATATATATATATACACACATGTGTATATATATATATATATATATAAAGTGAGACAGCTTGGAAATCATGCAGGCGTGAAAAAGGTCTTAGAATACCTTTGACTTAGTTGACATTTAATAAACATTTGGTGTTTGACATGTTTACTCTCCCCTTTGTAAAATGCTATAATTTTTCAAAATTTGTCTAAAAATTATTTTTGAACATTTCAAATGCACTTAAAAAATTCTTGATTTCAGCAAGGGGTTATATTCAAGCAGACCCTTCATTCCTGAATAAACAGTTACTCACACTTCTGACTGTGAATACAGGAAACATGATCTAGTTTTTGGAGCAAATGAGGAAAGTCAAAATTCAGGCACTGTGCCTCGATTTGGCCATTCAGTTAAGAGAACATGTTTTATATATCTTATTTCTCGTTTCTAGTTACATAACAGCTTAAAAACCTCTTTTGGTGAATTTTCATCTTAAGGCTATTTTCAAAAGAACCCTAGACAGATAATCAGGAGACCTCGTTTTCATTTCTGCCTGGTGCATTATTTAACTTTATTTGCCTAAAAATACCTATTAAATGACTCCTCTGTTCCATTTCCAGTAATATGGCAGATTAGAATAGCTGAAAACCTTTCCTTACAAAACAGGATACAGTATTAGTTTAAATGCTTTTAAGTGCAGAACTGAGGTCTTGATTAACCAAGTGATTTCTCAAAACAAATCAAGAAGGTTGGGCTTTCCATGGTCGCCCTCAGGCAGTAACGGTACGTACAGGGGGAGGGTTACCCATTACAGGGATTTTGGGGGGATGACGCAGATAAGGGGTATGACATAAAACTTAGAGCCCCCACCCCCCAAAAAAAGTGAACAAGCAGAAGTACTGCTTTATTTCATCAACCTGAAAGGGTTATTGTACCAGCAAATGAGTAGAGAAACTCAGTTTACTTATAGAGGAAAAGGGCAAGGAAGCAGGTCAGTCTCAACCTCAGTGTGAACAAACCTCTCCTAAGAATTCCAACTATGGGGTTGGACTCACCACTAATTAGTTACGTTTCAAATTTATGGTACTTCCATGAGTCCAAAGACCACAAAGCTGAGAAATTAGTATAAGAAATGGCATCAGGCCAATGGTACTCCAGATTGCCTGACATAAGGAAAAGCCAAAACTCTGAAGATGGGAATACCTTAACCTAAGCCACAGCATTTCCCCAGATAAACTGTACCATCAAAACTGCAGACTACATGAGGAATAATAATCCATTTTATACAGGGTTTAAAATACCTAACAAACATTAAGATGAGACTTGCAGTGTTGGAAATATTGGAAATAGCAGTTAGAGACCATAAAGATATGTGCTAGAACTTACTAAAGATGTAAAGCGAAAAATTAAAACATTAAATATAATGAGTCACAATAAAAAAAGACCAGATTTTTAAAAAAGAAAGAAAGTAAAAGAAGTTCTAGAACTGAAAAGTGCTTTTATTGGAAATAAATAAATGGGTTGATGAGACAGACTGAGTTTAACAGTTATTAATAAGCTCAAGACAAATGTAAGGAAATTATTCAAAATGCAACATTGAAAATAGGAGTTAAGAATAAAAGTGAAGTAAGTCATGCAGAATTAAACAAGAAGGTTCAGAATAAGAGAATGTATGAAAAAGATGAGAGAATTTTGTAGATTTGATGAAAGATAAGAATGTACAAAATCAAGAATTTCCAAGCAGTATGATAATATATACATGCTTTGATATAGTGAGTGAGATTTCAGTTCATCAGCTATATAAGGACAAAGTAAAAGGAATAAAGAAAAGGCACAAATTAACTAAAAAGGAATTAACAAATTTATAGTGAAATTCTCAAAAGCTGCAAAAAAAGCAGAATAACAACAATGGTATGTTGAAAGTGCTGAGAGGAAAATAAATGTCAACTTGGATTTATTTATTTATCCGGCTACCTACCATTAAAAACTATGGACAAAGTGAAAGGGTTTTACCTCTATTAAGCTCTCACTGAAAGAGCTCCTAAATGATAATGTTTGAGATGAAGGAAATTAAAACCAGAAACAGAAGAATTCAAGATGCACAAAGAATTTGATAACCATTTGGGTGATCTAAGTAAGTCTAGATACGATGACGTTGTATGAATACATGACTAAAACACTCTGGTAATCTATGACAGAAGGAAATGATAAGGAGTATATTTTGGGGGAGATATTGAGCACCCTTATATTTTATTAAGTCAGTATGTATTTTAAAAATGTAAGAATAATGATCAAAGTAGAAATATAATTATTAATATTATAATTACATAATCATATAAGATAGATATATATAGATATATAAATATATATCTATATATACACTCTTCAGTCCAACAAAGGAAATAAACAGGACTAAGTAAAGTTCAGTCAACTCAATGAGAATAAGATGTTAAATAAGAGAAAACTCATTTTTTTTCTTACAGAGATGATCTAATTAAGACCAAATAAAGAGAAAAAAAAATCTAGAAATATGACTTTTATATGTCACAGCAGAGGTTATTACAGAAAATTATTTTGTTTTAATTATTACTGCATCTATGAGACCAACCAACTGAATTATAAAGTGTTCACAGTGATCAAATTAAGAGTGTGGATTAATCGGGGCTCCTGGGTGGCTCAGTGGGTTAAGCCGCTGCCTTCGGCTCAGGTCATGATCTCGGAGTCCTGGGATCGAGCCCCGCATGGGGCTCTCTGCTCAGCAGGGAGCCTGCTTCCTCCTCTCTCTGCCTGCCTCTCTGCCTGCTTGTGATCTCTCTGTCAAATAAATAAATAAAATCTTTAAAAAAAAAAAAAAGAGTGTGGATTAATCAGTCCACACATTCACCATTGTTGGCAAATACGTAAACACACAGACTGCACATGATGTATTTCCCAGGCAATAATGCAATCTGTACATACAAAGTACAGTAGAAATTTTTATTTTCTCGAGGAAATAATGTAAGATTGGCTTAAATTATGTAGGTATGCAGAATCAAAACTCTTCAGAAGATTAAATGTTTTATCAATTAAATGGATAATTTTATTATTCAGAAAACTGAAGGAGAGAAACACCTAAAATTTCATGTTTCAAACCTTTCTCCCTTTCTGTCATTCATTTTTCCCAGTTTGCTAATGGGAAAGATACATGACATGGACATTATTACCTAGGCAAAGACAATCATATCAGGAATTATTACCTAGAAAGGATAAAATTTATTACCTATGTTGGTGTCTTGAACGAAGTCATAGATGGTATGCTGATAAAATATGTGAGTACTATTATGCTAACGAGGATAAAACATTGGAAAATAGTTTTTATGACACAAAGAGAGGTTAATAGGCCAGAAACAATGGAATTTCTCCAGCAGCATGAAGTCTAATGAAATCGTTAAAATACCTAATCTTAAGTCCCAAGTGTTGAGTCCACAAGAAAACAATAGAAATAACGATGGTGATAATAGCAACAATATTGATTGAATTTATTAAGACACTATGTTAATTATTTGGTTGCTGCAAAGATTAAATGCTTAATGTGGGAAACAAACAGTTGGAATCAGGGACTTAATATGAAACTCATTCTGTGTCCATTCTCAAAGTGTTACTCTTCTCAGCATCAATCCCCATCTGACTGATGAAGTGCTGCAAGTTTGGATATCTCACTTTATAGTCCTTCATTCACACAGTAAATACTTACTGAACAATTATTAAGTCTCATCCCGGATTTAGATGTTGAAGACAGAATGTTTGAAACAAGCAGACTTGATCCCTGTCTTCAGGGCACCTAGAGCCTAATCGTAACCTTGTAACTATAGTTTTGTTTCCTGGGGTTTCAGAACTGACCCTTCGCTAGGCTGACATGAAGAGACCCCACAGTTTGAGATTCTTCATTTAAAGAACACTACAGCTATGGTTCATCCTTAGTAAAGAACCTTCACCCTATTTACTGGGTGAATTATTTTTTTTTTAAGATTTTTTTATTTATTTGAAACAGAGATCACAAGTATGCAGAGAGGCAGGCATAGAGAGAGAGAGGAGAAAGCAGGCTCCCCGCTGAGCAGAGAGCCCTATGTGGGCCTCGATCCCAGGACCCTGAGATCATGACCTGAGCCGAAGGCAGAGGCTTAACCCACTGAGCCACCCAGGCGCCCTGGGTGAATTATTTTTCTGAAAAGTATATATCCTCAGAATGTAGTTTAAGTATCACCTGGATGCTTTAAGAAAATGCAAAAATTCCCAGATGTTATCCACTGAGATTGTGATTCCGTTAAGTCTGGAATGGGTTTAGGAATCTCTGTCTTTTTTATAAACACCATTGTGATTATAATCAGGAGTTGATTTTACCACAAAGCGCTTGAGAACGCTTTATTTAGAAGCCTTCCCAAAACTGTGGGAGAGACTGGGACAGGCGTAGGGAAGTTCCAGGTTTTCTAAGGCTCAAAGCTTATACAATTTAAGGGACACTTATTATTGTTGTTGTTGTTGTTGTTGTTATTTTTAAAAGCAGAATTCCAAATACAAAATCACTAAGATCTCTGCCAGAGTCTTCTCAGAAAGGGACTGTGCATGAGAAGAACCCCAAACCTTAAGCTTCTGGGGCTTCTCCATAAATCTGTCCCAAATCCTAAGATAGATTTTTGGTCTTTAAAAAAGAAAAATCCAAAAAAAAGAAAAATCCAAAAAAAAGAAAAATCCAAAAATCCAAAGAGAATCACTGCCTTAAGATGACACACAGAAACCAAGGCATGCATGTTCAGAAAACAGGTTTTCCACAGTTCTGGAGGTCAGCCTGGGGAGGATGGGATGTCTGGGAGAAGTCACTGTATGCCTCAGAAGGGAAATAGAACTTGGAATTCTAAGAGAAGTAGAACTTTGAATTCTAACACCGGTCTTATTTTCACTCATCAAGCCTAGTTTTAGCTTCCTGAGCGGCAAATCTTTAGAAAACCACTAAACCTTGCTAGTTGTTAAGCTAGGAAATTGGAGAAGAAGAACACGTAATGCTCCCAGATACTGTTTCATCTTCCTTCATACCTGTAACTCCAGATGGAACGAAGCCATGGCTGTTCGTGAAGGACCTTCCATTAATGAAAGAAAGATGGTGGATAAAATGTCACGTAACCTGACACTGTCAAGTGACTGTAGTACATGTGCTTTTTGTAACCCTTAAGCACTTATTTCTCTGAGTCCACTGTAGATGAATGATAGCACAGAAGGAATTTTGAAATGCGCACTCAGGGATGCGCGCTGGTGAATGAATAGCATTTTTTTGTTTGTTTCAGAAGCACAGTCCTGCTCTCTAAGAATGTAAAAGAAATGGTTTGTGGCTGACTGTTCCCTGCCTTGCTGATGATTGCTCAATAGGGAGTAGCTACTCTCACCAATGTTAACAGAGGAGTACAAACTACATTGTGGAACTCATTAATATTTATTCCTTCTAAAAGCAATGGGCAATAAAAAGGGAAATAAACCAGGGAGAATAGCAGTGGGAAAAGGAAGCCATGACAACAGATTCATCTTGGAAAGGTTTCACCATTTATTGCCCACAAAAATACACTCAAAATACACGCTCCTTATTGTTATATTATTAAACTAAAATCCACTAAGAATACCTCTTATGGGGTGAAGTCATTTATGAAAAAAAATTGTATACTGAACATAATTCAGGAATTCACAGTAGCCATCCATATTCTTAAAATTATATGCATTTGATGTACTTCTTTACAATTTCATATTTTTTATGTTCAACAAAGCTACATGTGCTCAGTGTTAAGAGTCTGAGCTCTATGTGCCAATACACAAGGACTTTCTTGAAGCTAAGGATTACCTATCAGTTGCAACAGAGACATTGGGATCTCTGTCTTTTTTTCTTAATACTTCTCTACTCTCTGCAGTAAAAGCCTTTCAGCCATTGTCGCCAAACTATCCAAGTATCTCCTCCTATTTCAAATCATCTTTTTCACACTATAAGGCCTCAGTGATCTCTCTTCACCCAAAGCCGAAAGCCCTCTCATACTATATTACACAATTTACCACTTGATTACATAGAATTCTATTATTTTACAATTCTCTCATGAATATTTATGCCAGCCTCCCAATATTTCAAGCTTCCAAGGAGGGCGCTGTGTTTTCCCCTCCTAAATGTTAACAATAATATCCACCACTCTTCTCAGAGGTCTGGGTACATTTGCTGATTGTGTCACTTAGAAAAATTTTAAGACCAAGGAAACCCTTCAGTCAGAGGATTTTGACTTGTTGGGCATCTGATTCATCAAGTTTCATTTTAGATTCATCTCTGTGTCTCACCAACTTCTTTTCCTCCTTTGTTTTCCTGTCCTCTGCGGAGGCCCAATGAGAACATATGTAAAACACATCCTAGCATAAGGCCTTGCACTTACTACTTGCCAAAATGAATATTCATTGCTTTTGTTTTTTATCTTTACTTTTCTGGTTAATTTGAGAAAAAGGGAGGGATATTTTAAATAGTTTTCTTTAAACATTTTATATGTAGTAAAGACTTAATAGCATACCAGCCTTGGTAGCTGAGAAACATAAGAGGATGTATAATTCATGGAGTCTCTTTATGATATGTCCCAAGGTCCTGCTGCATACTTACCTTATATATGAAATTGTTCCTTTCTTGGAAAGTGTAGACTTTATTTATATTAGTCCAAACTAAAAAGATATATAACTAATTTTCCTGCTAGAGTTATGAGAGGCAGATTAATTACAGCTTCCTTTACTTTGTGACCGCGAATCCCTGAGAAGTTTAACCCACACTCTGTGGCTCAAGGATTCTGAAGGAAATGCTCACAGGCCTCCTGGGATTGTTTGGTGCTCTACAAAGAACACTTTCACCATTGCTCAACCTGAGAAGGCCACTCTGGTCCGTCTGCCCCTTACATTACATAGGATTCCTAGGTATCTAAAACCACATTGATCAGGCAGCATTATGCCTTGGAGTACTTAACTCTTCTTGTCTAAATAATAATAATAATAATATGGAGATGAAGAAAAAAGAATTTTTAGAAAAGTAATTGTTTTACATGTTCTCAGCCAGGTCTGATTAGAAAGGCTTGGATCAATTAAGTACCTACTTCCTGAGAAATTTCTAGAAGTATTTTGAAATAAAATCCTGTTTTTCACTAGGAAAGCTGTTGATCCATTTCTCACTGTCTTCCAAAAATATATCCACAGCAAAGGGGTAAGAAAAAGAACTAGCATGTTGTGATAGAAAATATCTTTCCATTAATACATGACTAAGTGGATAATCGGAGAATAATTTTCCTAGACAAACAAAGGTAGTAATAGTGGATGGATTCAAAGCCATTTTGCTTGTTTGGTTGGTTGGTTGGTTTTGTTATTTTGTTCTTTCTAAACTGCAGTAACAGTTCTCTGCCCTTTGAATTTGCTTCAGAGTAAATGGCTGGATACAATCACTGTCCATAACTTTATCAAAATCACAGAAGTAAGCGGATTGTATTATCTGATATTATCTCTATTACAAAAATAAATAAACTGCCATAGAGACCTGCCTCCAATAACGGAAAAATTGAAGGAAAACTAAACATAATTTAAGCCTTTTTAGAATTCATCTCAGAGTTTATTCCTGAGATGATTCTGTAAGGTCAATGCAGATTCCCGTCAATGATTATTTGAACCAGTATTCTATTGAATCATATGAAATTGTTATCTCTGTAGGTCAAGATCTGTAGTCTAGTGGCAATTTCATAGGACTCACCTGAATAAGTGCCCTTATGGTTTTGTATCATCACCTGGTGTGATCTCCTCTTTGTCCCAGTCTTTCCATTGTCAGAATCAAGCTTGCAGCTACTGGCTATGAATTATAGTCAATGTTTTCACATGAACAGTATGCATTTGTGCTGTATGCAGTATGCTTTAGAGAGAGTAATGATTCTCTTCTATAAATATATGTAGATTTCCCCATAGTAGATATTCTTTATGGGAAAATAACTCATATTGATGGTTTGGGAGTGACTTGAATTTATCAAGTAGCTTTTATTCTGTGCATAGTTAGAAAAGAATTTCCTGCATTCAGTGGTGTTATTTTTAATACTTACCTATGCCCCAGTGTTGTTTTATGTAAGTACATAACAGTAAAAGGAGATAAAGTGATTTTAGGGATAAATTGTTGAGTAATGTGGGGCAAAAGAAAAATACTAATAGGTGAATGCCAGTAACAAATGTAATAAAGAAGATGTACAAAATACGTACCATAAGATCCTGTGATTCTCTTAAAGTAAGACCACAAGTTTTGGCTCTAAGCTTATAGTAGCCGATGCAAAGAGGAATGCTATGTTAATAGTGAAATTCACAGTGTTCATTGAACAATAGAAAGCATTTGCAAAGGAAAAGCACAATTTCTGGGTTAGAAAGAAAATTCACGTAGGCCTTCATAAAGAAGACACTAACTATATTAAATGATATCCTCATTAACATTTTTAAAAGAAACACCACAATGAGTTTTATTTATTTTCTTTTTAAAAAGATTTTATTTATTTGACAGAGAGAGACAGAGCAAGAGAGGGAACACAAGCAGGGGGAGTAGGAGAAGGAGAAGCAGGCTTCCCACTGAGCAGGAACCCCCAATACAGGACTCGATCCCAGGACCCTGCGATCATGACTTGAGCTGAAGGCAGATGCTTAATGACTGAGCCATCCAGGCACCCCCCACAATGAGTTTTATACTGAAGCTTTTTCTTAAAGCAGTTTTCCTCAATGTAGGCCATTACCTTAAATATGGAAGTTAATTCAGGAAAGGGAAATCAGTGTGGGTTGTGTAATGTACAGATTTATAGGTCTCTGCTAAGCGAGATAACACAGGTACAGAGTTGAGAATATCTAAATGAAAGGATGTACAGCTATTCCCTCGGGCAACCCTTCTTAGAGCTTTGATAGATACTGGGAAGCAGAGAGTTCCCTTATATCCCCTGACACAAGGATCTGGAGTACTGCTATTCTGGTTTCTGTTTAGGTGCAGTTAAATGCAGAGACACATTTTCCAGTCATCATCTAGGTGAGGATAGGATTAGCGTCCTTAAAGGAAAATTGAAAGGCTTGACAAAGACCTAAACTTGAATAAAATATTACGCCACTTCAAAAAGAAGGATGAATCCACACTTAAACTAG